GAGTATAAAGCCTGTAGTTGGGCTGTTTCTTCTAACATACAGTGCTCGTTCTACGGATCCTCAATTCATCATGAGATCAGCTTTGCGTGTTTATTCCTATTCTCATACGGAAAGCCTGCCCACACGAGTCTCCGGGAGAAGAATGATTGGTAACTATCTACCTCTAGAAGAAGGTGAAGAGAAAGGACGACCCTTATTACATTGGGATGACTGCTTTAGCTCTTTTGGGTTGCCATTTAGACCAGTTCCGATTGATCTGCTCGATTGTTGTAATGGCTTGCTCTTATTTCTGAACATAGAATCCAGACTATATTATGTCTGTAATCCATTGACCAGGCAATATGTGTCAATCCCTCGTCCTCCATTTTTGATGCAAACATTTTGTTGTGGTGCACTTGCATTCGATCCCTCTCGTGGGTCAACTCGCTATAAAGTTGTACGCGTTGACTGCTCCTTGTACCTAGCTGATGTTTTTGTAGACATATACGATTCGTTTGAGAGGTTTTGGGTTAGACGCGAACTAAAGTTGGACCCATGCGTGCGCGATGGCATATTGTTGAGGCCCTCGGTGTACTTCGATGGGGATTTATTTCGATTATCCAATACGTGGAACCTCATGCGGTTTGATGTGAAGAGTGTGAGTATTAGCGTGACTGGCCTTCCTTTGAGTTATAGAGAGTGTGATGGCTTGATGGGATGCATGGGAGTACAAATGGGCCGGTTTATGTACGCGAATGAATCGTGCAACGTGTTATACGTATGGTCGCTCGACAATGATGTACAGAGTTGGGATTTGAAGCACAAAATTAATATTTATGATTTGACCAGTGGTATTTTGCTTAACAAAGCAGATGCCCCTCCTGGTTGTCGTTGGATTGGGCCGGTTGCATTTGATCCACACTCAAATGTCATCTACGTGGGCAGCTCTCTTGTTATCCTCAGATGCAACCTGGATGAGGATAATAGTTTGGAGGAGATGAGTAGAGTGGATGGGAATGTCATGTTTCTTCCTGGATGCCACTGTCAAGCTTTTCCTTACATTCGATGGCTTCTTCCATTCACTGATGCTGGAGATGCTTGTGATAGGAGTTTTTTGAAGTTTGTTTGATTCATTTTTACTAGTACGAGATAGATTGCTCTTTTAAGAAGAAAATGATTTGTTGGTATTTATTGTGTTTGTTTCATCCGCATTTTCGCATGTAATGAAGCTTTTTATTAAGTGTTGAAGAGTAAGTAGCTGGATTATACAGTCTGTGTGTGCAATAACTTGTTGCTTTCTCTTGACCATGTCAATCATGATCTATGTCTACACTTGTTCGTTCCAATGTCACATTGTACTAGACATATCAAATTGAACTAACAAACAGATCGATAAAACTAAAATAAGTTGCAAAAGATTTGGGTTAGTAAACAAGAAATGAAATATCAGATAAAACTAAAATAAGTTGCAAAAGATTTGGGTTAGTAAACAAGAAATGAAATATCAGAAATTCTGATAAATGAATTATGAGAAGAGCAGCTAGCACAAAATATGGATTGAAACGGAAAGAGATGAGACATATCCATATACACCATCCCATGTGAATTTACATAGTATATAGTTTTGCTAGAAAATTTGTACTTGAGCAAAAACTAGAAACAGAGTAGACGCGTCAAATGTGGAGAACCATCCCATGTGAATTTACACAGTATATAGTTTTGCTAGAAAATTTGTACTTGAGCAAAAACTAGAAACAGAAAACAGAGTAGACGCGTCAAATGTGGATCTGACTTCACTAGCCCTCACTGAGTGGACGATCAACTGTGTCAACACTTCCCCTGAAACCCATGACAAAAAATAAATACACAAACATTAGTTAATGCAATGAGGTACAGACACCAGATAAATTCACAAGAAATGGTACTACAATTTACAAGAAATGATACTACAATAGGACTCACCGAGTCAACGGTCGATCAACTGCACCAACACTTTACCTGGAACCCATCTAAAGTATGACAGAAAAACAAAAACACAAACAATAGTTAATGCAGTAAGGAACAGACACCATATAAATGGACAAGAAATGATACTACAAGCTTGTGAGCACGATACAATCTCTCTCCCTCACTCCCTCTCTGTCAAAGCATAAATCCCATAGCTGTAAAGAAAATTAAATACTTAAAAAAGCTAAAGTTAGTAGCCATAAGAGTTGGCTGATTGGAAACCGGATAATGCAATATTTGACTGTTCATACTTCATGAAAATTCTATGGTGCGTTTATTGAATGTGAGGGGAAAACATTGATGCATGCTAATTCTTCCAGTGACTCATTCTTAGGGGAGATTAGATCATAGCCTGTACATCTTTGGCAAAGACTCATCCTCAGACAAATGTTGGAGAAACACAATTCTTTCTGTATTAAAACTAATCATCCTTAACTCGTATTAATTCGTATTAATGCAGTTTCATCACCCTAGAGCAAAAGGAAGGAAGCCTGGATATTCTTCTAAAGATTTTTTAGATCATGTGGTACTTATTACCTCTAGAAAAAAGAATACCGATTCTATAAGCAACAGATTTCATTTTTATCAGAGGCTACAAGGACCCCCTTTAGAAGAATCATAAGTTTATCTTTTATTCTTATCAAACCTCATAATAAGGAAAATATGCATCTCTCTCTCTCTC